AGAGAGAGAGAGAGAAAGAGAGAGAGTGAGTGAAAGGGTCAGAGAATGAGAGAGAGGGGGGAGGGCAGAAAAAGAGAGACAGAGAGAGAGGAGAGAGACAGAGAGAGAGAGGAGAGAGAGAGAGAGGAGAGAGAGAGAGAGAGAGAGAGAGAGAGAGAGAGAGAGAGAGAGACAGAGACAGAGACAGAGACAGAGACAGAGACAGAAAGAGAGACAGAAAGAGAGACAAAGAGAGACAAAGAGAGAGACAGACAGACAGACAGAGAGAGAGACAGACAGACAGACAGAGTGGGTGGTGCTGGGCGTTAGATCTGTGCAGGAATGAACAAGATAATGCACAGCAGTGACAAATCAGTGACAAGCATCAATATTGCCGATTGAGTGCGAAGAAGCTAGCTAGATCTAGTAGTAATATATATGCGATACGAATGCGCGTGCGCACACCAACGGGTGGAACGTCGTGACGTCATATTTTGCTTGTAGCTTACCATCATACATCGCCCTAGACTCGGTGAAATCTAGAGAAGAGAGGGAGGAGTGGGTAGGGAGAGTGAGTGAGTGAGAGAGAGAGAGAGAGTGAGTGAGTGAGAGAGGGAGAAAAAAAGAGAGAGAGATAGAGAGAGAGAGAGGGGGAGAGAGTTTATATATATAAATCAAGGGCGACGATTTGATAACCCCGTCAATCAATCTAGGGTTTTCAAATGGGCAACCAGCTTTACGAGTGTTTACACGTGTGCTTTGTTTGTAGCTTGCGCTTCGTCAAGTTGTGTAGACCTGTAATATCTTGTGTCTGCTTACTCGACTGATTACGATATTTCAACAAGAGAACAGAGCAGTGGAGGTGGTCGGCATTGTTTTATTTGTAGACCAAACATTTTTTTAAACTTAATCCTCGAGCAGCAGCGACAACAGCAACAAGAGCACTATCATCGATTGCACGTTCAATTATCAGTAGAAACATTTATTATTTAAAAAGAAATAATAGTAAGTAATGATATAATGAACAGAATTTGTATTGCGAATATTCTCGTTCAACATTCTGTGCGCTTTACAATTTACATTCAACGCCTTCTAGATATTCAGATGCAGCTACCTAACAGAAATAACAACAGCAATAGCAACAACCAATCAACAATGGAAAATTAATCAAATACCAATATCTTAAAGCTTAATATGCTTGCTGTAGAACAACTATTGCTATAGTAATTCTAAAAATCTTAAGATACAGCCCAATAGTAGTAGCAGTAACAAAGGCTGTTCTCTCATGATCACAATCGAAGGACATCTTTGTACAACTCGTCGACTGCCATACATTCTATTTTACTTAAAAACAGTCATTATTTTTGTCCCATATTTTCACACATTTCGAGGATGTCATATATCACGGAGGTCAAATTTCTCTGGACTACAGTAAGTTACTTAAGTGACCGGTTGCTTATTGACCATTCAAAATCTTACCTCGATTTCATGGTTCTTGTTGCTATCCCTATCGAAACTATAGATTAAATGATGATGATGATGATGATGATGATGATGATGATGATGATGATGATGATGAT